AGCCAGAAATGGCCATTCCGGTCTCCCTTTGCTTTGTCGGATCCACTTCACTTACATATCCGTTTTAAAGCCAACAGTTAGCTGGAGTCCTTCGTCCGTAAGTGCCTAAGGAAGTCTAATTAGAAGCGGTCGAGTGGAAGAAACCAAAAGTCTGGTTCTTAATGTTCTACGTCAAAAATATTTGAGAGGTGACAGCACGAATGCTAAAAAGCTATGTGACGGTTTGCCAGGTCCCTGTAGTGAGCTCCAGGGTGCAATGGGACGTATTTATTCCTTAACCATATTGGTGAACTTCCTACTATTATCATATTCTCGATCGCAACAGGACAGATGCAACGGACCTGTGGTGCAATGCTAGAGTTGTGCACTCGATGATTAAAGGTTGCGGGTTCGGATCTCGGGGTCTTCACTCCTGGGTTGGGATGACTGATGGTCAGAAATGGTCTTTCCGGTCTGTCTTGCTTTTATCGGCTTTACTTCATCCAACTTTTATATATATGGGAGCTATATTAACTAATAAATCGTGAATACACAATGATAAACGCTTAATAAAAGGACGCGAATAATGGGCACTAGCCTACAAATGATGACCATATTATGCAGGATGATGTACAGTGGATTGCCTTTCGAATGAAATCTAAGGATTTTCCAAGGAAATCTTTGTTAGAAATACCAGATTTTTTAGAAAAGCGGAGAATTCCGAAAAAGTGAAAATTGGACTTACTAGAGAAACTTCAGTTTTAACAGTAGAGGAAGCCCCTTCATGCAAAGAAAAGCGAGTGAATGAAACAACACAAGTAGAATTTTGTGGAAAAATATGTTTTGTAAAATGTTCAGATACATTTGCTTCCATCTTACGTGCAATGCAACATAGTCGTTGCCGAACAGCCCAAAGTTCGATTATGTATTCCAACCCGGTTTCACGAGAATTGTTAGTTGTTTCTTCCGTGTATACATTACCTGAGTTAGGTTGGACTAAGGCAACCAGATTTTGCTTGATTGCGCCAATTTGGAGGTCACAGGAGTAAGATATTTCGTAAGCTCACGTGCGGACTTGCCGATCAGTGACTTATAAATGTAAATGAGATTGCCTGGTGCAATCTTAAACACGCCATTTTGTGTACACTACGAGAAAGTTCCTTCCGTCACATTTCTTTTTATTTATTTCGAGTTTTTGATTACGACGAGGTAGAGATCTTTCTTAAAATGGTGATTAACACTTTACGATTTTCACTGGCTTCAGTCAAGAGGCCAGAAATAAAGGTTATATTGTACGTGCTTATCAGAACCTTCAAAATAAGATACTTATTAGATGCATTCACCGAGATAGTGATTTTTTGGGCATTCTTGCACCTGTTTGTCTGGATCTTAGTTTTAGAATCACCCAAGCATGTCAATTCCTTGCCGAGAAAAATGAACGCCTCCAGCATTAGTCACAAACTGATATGCCTAGCATCAATTAAAAAGTTCTCTCTTACGACTTACCTCTTGAAAAAGAGCTTTTTTTAGATATTTTGCCGTCAACTACCTACGTAGTTAACCTTTTTAGAAAATTAAGTCAAGATAAAAAGGGCAAAGTGTGATTGGTTTTTTGACTTCATTGAGTATTAGGAATAAATACTCTGAAAGTAAAAGAACTCACTTTGCTGTGTATACTGAGTAGTTTTTCAGTCTACATTTTTTACTTTTAGGCTCCGCTCTAAGATTGCAAAGGCACACAGAGTGACAAAATATATACAGTAGTCGCCGGCTATTTAGCCACGGTTAATAGGCCCAGCCGCCTATTAAGCCCAATTTGGTCTGGGCCCAAAGTTGGCTTAATAGCCGGCGACTACTGTACTAAGCCCACGGGTAATAAGCCCAGCCGCCTATTAAGCCCAATCTGGTCTGGACCCGAGGTGGGCTTAATAGCCGGCGACTACTGTACTACGATTTTGCAAAAGCTGAGAATCTACACGTTCCGTTTCAAGTTTCCTTACTCGTTCATACTGAACTAGAGATTAAGAGTGTTTGGACATCTTTTGTATACGGCATGATGTCATGTCTCGGGTGCACATATATATATATATATATATATATATATAT